GCTGCATTTCAATGGCAATAATTCAGAAAACATGATCAAAGAATACCAATAATTGTAATAATTCAATCTTACATTTGACTACGTATCTAGAAAGCTGTGCTCCTGGAACAGTAGAACAATGCTCCAAATCTCCATTTAGATAAAGTCATTTACTTATTTGAGTTTACAGCAGAATTTATATAGCTAACTATAAATATATATCAATAGTTAAAGAGATTTTATAGCTTTTTGACATTCAATATATTATGCAAGTTTAAAAAGCTCTGGAAAATGGATGAAGCATCTAAGCTGAATAACTTTCCACTTGTAAAAATGTTTCTTAAAGTGTAGAGCTCTCAGATTTAATACTTAGTCTTGCTGTTTTAGGCACATGGTGAAATGTGGACACTATCCTTTCACAGAACAGTCCTGATGGAATAGTGCAGTCTCCATAAAGCTAAAGCCAAAGTGGTAGAAAAGAGACAAAGAGACAGACAGACAGATACAACTTACTGGGGAAATAATTTAAGAATGCTTAATTGTAACGTTTCTTGTTAAGCAATACAATCATCTCTTTTGACAAGAAGCTGTATTCTTTAACCTTGTGCATTTTATTTTTACATGATTTAGATATATTCTTATCCCTGAAATTACGATGCTTTGGAGTCCATTCAAGTGTCTGACTTACTGCAGAAACGGACTTATATTTCTTTGTGTTTACAGTAGCTTGTCTCATTCTACATTAGGGTCTTACAATAATTTTAATTTGCCACTTAAGAGTTTAGATAAAGGTCTGAAACCCTGTGACTAGCCAGGCCTCCAAGGCAAGCCTTAGCCGTTTGATAAAGCAATTGCAAACACAGGGGATATTCATCTTTGATTAACCCAAATAATAGAAAATTTCCTACGTTGATGTCTGGTGCTGGGAAGCTTCTAAGCAGTAATTCACAAAATATGACTTTTTTTCCACTGGAGAGTTTGTAAAAATTTGTTTGTTGGAGGTAGGGAAGGAAATGTAATTAAAGGCTAAATTCAAACTCACATTTCATTTTAACTAAAAGAATATGTGTGATTTGGACACTAGTCACCTAGGCACTTCCTATTTTAAGGCAGTGCACATTGTCAGAAAATTAAATTATCCAATAACAAAACTACATCTGGCAGAGCCTAACTATGCCAGGTAACTTTAAATAGAAGCTGGAGGGTAATTAACTATGTTGTATCACTGACTTTTGCTGGTAAAAGTTATCTGAAGTCTCTAGTAGTATTGCTATTAAAGAATAAAATGAGAGGAGGTGAAATTAAAACATTAAGCTTCTGGGGATATGTGCATCTTTGAATGTGTCATTCACATTCAAGTGCAAATAACAATACATTTAAAATAAATCTACTCTAGAATTTAATTTCACATATTTTTTGCTTTTACATATGGTCCTTATAAAATGAAGCTGTAGATCAAAAATCATTTAAGAAAGGCCTGCTACACATCATTTCCATTTGGAAAATCAAGGAGCCTTAAATTTGGATTGACTTCAGGTACAAATCTAATCTGAAAATGCCCAATGAAATTATATTTGTGGATGTAATTAGAATATAAAGGAAAGTTACACTTGTTAATTTTCCCAAAGTACTGTGAAAAAGCCTGTTTATAATTTAATTTTTAAATGCGGTATGCTTTTCATGCCATAATGGAGAATGAACCCAGGGCCCTCTCACTCTTGTCCATTTTTAACTTTTATTTTAAGATAGGGTCTCCTTATGTTGCTAAATTTCCCAGAATGGGCTTGAACTTGTGATTCTCCTGCCTTGCGTTCCCACTGTGCTAGGATAGCAGGCATGTGCCATCATGCCTGGCTTAATCAGGTTATGCTTTGAAAAGGATGAATCAAGCCCACATTTGTGTATAATACAGACACAGGGACACACATTTCTCTGTTTAAGAGGAAAAAATGATATAGAGTTTCAAAACAAGATGATAGGAAATTAACAATAGTTATTATATTGCATATTGATACCTTCAAAGTAGTTGCTCAGATTACCAGATATAGGCATGCAAACACATAAAGAATTTAAAAAATCAGGCCCCCAAAACTCAAAGACCCAATCCAAAAATGGGCATCTGAGATGAACACACACTTCTCAGATGAAGAAGTAGAAATAGCAAATAAATATAAGAAAAAATGTTCAACATCACTGATTATTTGAACAATGCAAATTAAAAATACACTGACCCCAGAAAGAATGGCTACCATCAAAACATCAGCCAATAACAAATGCTGGCCGGGCTGTGGGGGAAGGGAACACACATTTCTAAAGCCTAATCTGTTCAAATGTAATCATTTTTGTTTCTGTTATGGAACAGATATCACCTATATGTTCACACTGAAACCAAAGTCAATGTGTACTGTGAATACTGTGTGAGATACACGTTATTTCCTGTGTACAATGTTCAGGAAAATTCGTGCACATGTATAATCTGCAAATCATCTCACTGGCTCTGCAATGTGATATTTCCAGAAAAGGAATCATTTGCCTTTTATGAAAAAAAAGAAACAAAACAACAAGAGCAAAATTTGCTGGAAGAATCTTCAGAGATGCATTGGTTTAGAAATCCAAAATTACTCGGGTTATTCATGGTCAGCAAGTACAAACGAAGACTTTCTTCAAACCAGGAGAGTTAGTGCTTCCCAACATGGAGTTGGCACCAGGAATTTGAGATTGTAATACTTGTCCCAATATTCTGAGGATAAGTTCATTTTATTTACATATATCTATTAACTTACATTCAATAGCTATGTTCAGCCATGTCACAAAACTGGTAACAAGGTTAACAACAGGAAAATGAGAACGTAGGATTAAGAATTTCATAAAGTCATGAGTCAACTTCTAAATAAACTGTATATAATGGGCAAATATAGTAGTTTATTCACCCTAAGACTGACTGTCCATCCTGAAACTCAAAACCATTTGTCAGGTCTGACAAATGTTTTTTTATTATTATTATTAACCTGATATTGTTTTAAAGTCTAATACCCAGATGTTCTTGGTTTTTGATAAAAAGAAAATTAATGAGTCCATCTGTCCAACTGGAGCCTACTTACGTATCTCTGTGGATGGCCAGTGCAGGGCAAAGGGTGATGTTCCTGACATACAGAAGACTCAAAAACATTTCAGATAAAAAGAAAGCTTTCAATTAATCTTTTTAAACACTTTTCTTTTTCATAGTCTACCAAGAAATAGATTCAGGCATGTTCTGAGATCCCTTTAATTCCCTGATCTGTTATTTTTTTCTTCTACTACTTCATTTATAAAACCTTAAAGCAATTGCCTCTGTTGATGCAAGTTGGACTTGGCTATGTTTTGTTGCTTTAACCTTAAGCTTTACTGTAAGCTGTGTAAACTAAAATTATAGATTTCTCTTCATTTTCCAAGTTGTTTCCCTCTAAGAAATCCCTTCTGTCTTTTTCCTCAGTTAAAAAGAAAGACTAAAAATGTGTTTGAACAGAAACTGTGGCAGTAACAATGACCTTGGCTGAAGTTTTGGCTCAGTACATCCCATATGGACCAAGAGGAAAATTCCACCTAAGGTAGATTGAAGGTCATCAGGGCCTTCTCAAAGCATTTTCAATGAAATAATTTCATTCCATTTCTTTTTTTCTAAGCATTGAACATAAGAAATCATGGTACAAATAGGTTCAGTATGCACTGTCTCTTGACATGTGAAATATTGACATTTTGTAGCTCACAAGAGTCTGATCTTTGATTTTTGTCTAGAAGCTTGAAATATCCTTTGAATTAAGGTTCTCCTTTAGCTGGGAAGTTTGTATGTAAATCCCATTTGTACTAATGGGACTATGTGTGTAAATTATAGTTCGAGGAGATGTGACCGTTCCCCATGGGACTGATGTGTTGGTTTAAAAATTACAATGTGTAATACGTCTCTTATCCTGCAGATCATAATAATTTTATAGTGCGATTAGCTAATCCAAATTTAGTGACTATATTCAAATGAAGGTATTATCTTTTATTCATATCCAACCTTCTACTTAGGAAATCACAAATGTCTATAATTTAACTATTTGTAGGCTGCTCTTGAGGCCTCTCCTTTTCCCAACTCATTCATGAACATATTCAGTAAAGTTCATTATAAGAACGCTAATTTTAAAAAATGGAGCATATTTAAAAATGAGGCTTGCAGCTGTCCCGGGGCAGAGAGGGAAACCAAGAATTCTAAGATATTCCTTGATTTTAGTTTTTAGTAATTGTTTAAGATCACTTCTTTTGAATAAATAGAGTAGACTCCAATTATTTGTCAATAAGCACTTTTCCGGTAAAGGTTTTAGTGATTTCTAGAGTTTAATTTTATTTATTTCCATTTCTTCAGCCTTAGTGCTTACACTATAAACTGTAATTTAAAGTGGCAGGAGAGAGCTCAGTGCTTATTTCTTTGGAAGGAAGGGGCAGTACTGGGAATTGAACCCAGAGCCTTTGCAGAGCTGTAGACTCAGCGTTTTTTTTTTTAATTTTAATTTTACTGTGAGATAAGTTCTTATTAAATTGCACAGGCTGGGCTCAAACTCGCTATCTTCCTGCCTCAGTCTCCCAGAAAGTGCCCATTAAGTATGTGCTACCATACGCAGCTTCAATGTTCATTTTAAGAGGAGTATTTTACTATAATCTTTACATTTATACTATATTTATAAAGTCAATGTAATATTATGGATATAAAGACTCAGAAAAATGAATATTGTACTTTCAATTTCCTATCAAGATTTTAAAGTTAATTTAAAATTGGCAGGTTTTTTTGACCCTATGTGTAGTCAAGGACATAGATTTGACATCCTGCTTTTCTGATATCACCCATCTAACTTGCAACATTCATCCACACAGGTTGATTTTTCTTTTAATTTTTATTTTTCCTTAGTACATGTTTGTAGTACATAATGATTATATGCCTCATGGGTATTTTTAAAATTATCCTTGCCAACTTGCAAACGCAATTTGACTCGTATTTCATGGAACTGGCAATGTTTTTCTCTGTGAAAGTCCTTTCTTCGTTATTTTCTTTTCCATATTGTTTAACTTTCTGCTTTGCACCTGGAAAACAAGATTATTTTAAAAATGCGTGTTGTCGTTGGATTTCTAATCAGTTTAGCTCTGTCCAAAATCTTGAAACATACATGGAGAATCTGAATATATATGTTAAAAACCAACATTCTAGTGACTAGTATAACTTTGTAAAATGAGACAACATGATACAAAATATAAAATACAGCAAACTGCCACCATTTCTAGGATCTGCTTCCATAGTTATGATGAATCTGTTCTTTCCCATTAGACATCAGACATTTTAGTCCTCTCCCTGAGATCATCAGTTCACACCAGCCTGTTCTGGACAGTACTTCAGCAATGGTGGCTTTCTTTTGTTTCCTCAAATATGTGAAAGCTCTTCTCACCTCAGGACCTTTGCCGATGACATTTCTTCTATCTGGAAAGCTCTTCCTCTGACTAGCTACTTTTCATCCTTATTAAAGTTAAATGTTGTGTCACCTGTGAGATTTTATGACAACACAGTCTAAAATATCTCGCTCTGACACAGCACCATACTGTTGTCTTTCAGTGCACTGATCACAATACACAGTTGATTTTTATTTGCTTACCTGCTGGTTTACTGTCATTTTCTGTCACTAAACTGTAAGTTCCATGAAGGGCTCATCTTCTCTCCTGGCCAGTCTAAATCTGGAAGCCAGCACAGTCTGTGGTACACACTACATTAATCAGTTTAATCAGTGCATAATAATTACCTTAAAATAATGGGTTTAATGTTGGCATATTCACATATGCACACATTTTGACATTATCTACTCTCCCTGTTGTTCTCCATTTTTCTCTCCTTGGCTCCTCTGTACATCCCCATTTTGTTCTCTAAATTTCCCTTCCATTTTGATGACACCTTTGGACTTTATCTACAACCAGCATATGATGAAAAGCATGTGATAATTGTTGTACTGAATTTTTATTATTTAGAAAGGTTATTGATTTTGAGGGGGACAGGAGGGTTCCAGGAATGGAACTCAGGACCTCATGTTTGCCAGAGAGGTGCTGCACCACTGAGCTAAACCCTGGTCCCAAGTTATTGATATTTAAATTTGATATTTTTATTTTAAAGAGAATAAAAATAACTATACAGAATTTCCAAACAAGATCATAGGAAATCAATGACAGTTGTTATATTTTACATTGTTATTTTTAAAATAGTTGTTCAGATTACCAGTTATAGGCATGTGAAATTGGTCAAAAGAAAAAAAATCAAGCATTAACGGTTCCTGTCAATAAACTAATAGAAATTAGTAGTACAATTATCTTAGCTATTTGGTGTGTGTGTGTGTGTGTGTGTGTGTGTGTGTGTGTGTGTGATGTCTTTCTTTTGTCCTTTCCCTCTGAGTTGATTTTATATCCACCAATATTGCTGAATTTATTCACCAGATTTAAAACCCTTTTGGTGGCACATTTAGCATCTTATAAATTTAGGACCATATCATCCGGAAGTAGGGTGAAATTGAATTCTTCCTTTCCTGTTTGTATCTCTGTTAAACTTCTCTTGTCCAATTGCTCAGAAGGAAAACAACACATAACAGTAATGACTCCCACATATACAGGAAACAGATCTAGCAATACAGCTGTATCCAAATTAAAATTAAAAAATGCACCACCAATAACAATAAATAGAAAGGGACAAAGATAGAATAGAGCACACTAACAAGTCAAAAGTGGATCACATAAAACATAATAAAGCAAACAACCAAAAATGTACAGGAAAAGTAAAGTTAAAAGAGAAAGAAAAACAGTAAAAAGAAAGAACTTAAAAATTGAGAAAACCAGGAATAAAAGTAAAGAAGTTTCCTCAAAAATTTAATCTCTAAATAGAAATTCCATTTGACCCAGCTAATTCCCTACTAGGCATTTTTCCAAAAGAGTTAATGACATAATGTTACAATGATGTATGGTAATGTTTATAGCAGCCCAAGTCATAATAGTCAAATACTGAAAGAAACCTGTATGCCCATCAACAAATATGTGGAGTACTATGCTGCTATAAAAAGGATAAATTTTAACCTTTGCTTGGTAAATGGATGAACCTTGAGAATATAATGTTAAGTGAAATGAAAGAGACACACACTCACATACTGTATGGTTTCTCTCATGTGAGATTTAAGTATAAATGAAAACCCAAGATAAAACATAGATAAAACAGGGAGATAGATGTAATATCAATGGGATGGGGACCAGGAGGTAAAGGAAGTGGGGTGGAGAGGTGGCAAGAGGATGTAATAAAAAGAGAATCAAGATGTGTCATGTACATTTACCATATTTTCACAATGAAAGTAGTCACTATCACAGACATGTGCTATTAAATAAAAAAAAATTTTAAAAAATTAAAATCTAACTAAAAAAGAGATAAAAATAAAATAATCAGGTTTAGTTTAAATTTCAGACAAATGGTGAAAAATAAAACAAAATAAAAATGATAAAAAATAGAAGGGATGGAGAAAATGAAGAAGGAAAAAACATACAAGAAACAAAAAATAGAAACAAAGTCAAAAATTCATCCTGGATGAGGAATTTGGTTTAGAGATGGTGTCCACTGGCCATGGGGTGGACAGCGGGAAGCTGCTGCAACCTGTTTGCGTCCTCTCGATCTGCATGAAAACTCATCTAGCACAGTTTCACAGGTTATGGGGGCACAGTAAATGACTGAGTGCCACCAGGAACTTTTCACATTCCCCTACTTAAGCAGTATCCAGGGTCAAGTTGTTGTGTGGATGGAGTCACCCTCACACCGAATCCCTGCACCAGACTGAAATTAGTCTGGACTGCGGGTTTCTCCTACAGGTAGGTCTATCTGTTAACCGTTCACGTTGCAGGTTGTTCGCACTGTCCACTTACCTTATGATTGTGGTCTCAGGTTTTCTGCCTGCAGCCTGGGAGCTGGAATTGAATTGACAAATTTCTCTGTGTCCTTCTCTATGTTGCCTTGCCATATCTCACTCTATTTATATTTCCATTCTCCATTGATTCCTGTTGTTCTTTCTCTCAACAGGATACAGTTTCTCCTTGATTGTCCTGACTCTTGTTTGTCAGAGAATCACGCAAATTTTACTTCTATTCTTCTAACTTTGCATTTTACCTAATTATTTTTAATTAAAGGATAATTGAAGGTTGTGACATCAGCAAAACAGAAAAGTCTTGCCTAGAAAACTTCCATCTGAGTGACACAAAAATACATGGGTAAAATTGGAGACAATGTTACAAGCTAACACTCCCCAAGTGCTACAGTCAGAGTTTGAGAGAATTAACTGTAGACATCTAGAGGCAGAGAGTCTTACTAGAGCCAAAAAGACTTGAACATTGGCAGAAATCATAGGTGGAATATGGGGAAGTTAGTAGGATTTAAACTAATCTGCTTGTGGGGAAGATAGCACCGTTTATTCAGACATTAAATGATTACTTTTGATTACTTATTGTGTTTCGGAAGCTGAGGTATAGGGGGAAGAAAAATAGCAAAGGCTGCCCTCAGAAAGCAGCATTACTCACTGGCAAGCTTTTGAAATATTACCTCTTTCTAGCTTTCAGCCTCTTCATCTGAAACACTGGGATAAAAGTAGTCAGTTCTCAATGCTATTGGTGTCCCGCCAAGGTCTTCTCTTCCCCCAATTCTGTGTGATCCTTCTCCTGGTTTCCACTTACCTGTTGCTAACAGCTCCTGAATTTTCAAGTGTAATGGGTGAAGTTATTGGTCTTGGTTGCTTGACCATAGTATTATGTTGAAATACATTTCAAGGGTGCTTTCTAGAGCCCCAAAATAGTTATTATGATTAATTTGTGATATTTTGATAGGGTATGGGAGGGTGGAGTTCCAGTGTGAAGTAGGGAATCTCATCTCTGCATATGCCAACTAGAGCATGAGGAGCCCTTAATAAGGCTTTTATAATGAAACCAATTCTAATTTGAAGCCTGGACTGGGCTGAAGACTGTATGAATATGCAAAACAGATGTTAGTTGTGTTATTAAATAAGAGTCAGTATGCTTTGTTAGCTGACTGCCTGTGGATGGTTGAACAATGAAGGTGACAAGGTACATAGCGAGACAAAAGAACAAAGTCTGTACTGAGACATGAACCCGACTGACCATTTATTTTGTCTCACTTTCAATTGGGGTTCTTGAGATGGGACTTGTCACTTTGCTTATATCAAAACCCTCAATTCTCCTTTAATTAAAAATAATTAAGTTAAAAGAAAAGATAGAAAAATAGAAGGGTTTTAGGCAACTTTGTTAGATAGAAATGTTATAGGCAATCAGACAGGGTAGATCCTCAAAGGAGCCAGTGCTGATGAGATGCCTTACACCTGTGAGAGAAACAGACCGCCTCACCCGCCCCCCAGCTGTGGGCCAGACCGCAAGACAGACGACAAAGCAAATGCACCCAAAGACCTCCTGAAGGATAAACATCAAGGACTGATATTTGAAGTAGGTCTCTATCACCTTGAGAAAGCCAGGAAGAGTCACTAAATCAACTCACTGCGGGAAAGGCCCCTGTTCTGTTTTCATGCCAGCTTGCTACGTGACTTGCTTTCCCATTTGATCCCAATTTAATCAATTTACCTGAGCAATTATAATCTTATTGACTGACCATATTTTCTTCTCACCTCATGCCCACCTTGGAAGTTCCAATGTTTCCCACCTTGGACCTGCCCCATCTTGTGGATTTGCTCTATAAAAATCCATAGAAATGCCAGGTTTCTTGACAACCCACTCAGGTCCCCTTTGGTCTCTCTCTCAGACAGAAGCTTTCTTTCCCCCAATAAATATATTCTCCTCTTAACCTTTGTTGTTCCCAAAATTCATTCTTCTATTTTAGAGAACACAAACTCATCCAAGATATCTAGCAAGTTGGGTCTTTCTTTCCCCTATATCAGAAGCTTTGTGTGACTCTCAGAAAAATTACCTCTGAGAGAAAGATGAAAGTAAGTATCTTGAACATGGAAGCCAGTTTGAGAACAGACAGTGCAAGTCATTTAACAAGTCTAATGAGAGGA